GCCCTCGTGCAGGGCACCCAGGGCTTCTCGGGGGGCGAGCTGGGGCAGCTGTGCCAGCAGGCCGCGGCCGGGGCGGGCCTCCCGGGGCTGCAGCGCCCCCTCGCCTACAAGGACTTGGAGGCAGCGCTGGCCAAGGTGGGCCCGAGGGCCACTCCCAAGGAGCTAGACTCGTTCGTGGAGTGGGACAAGATGTACGGCTCCGGACACTGATGGCGCTGGGAGGCCGAGGCAGCCCCCCCCCCCCCGTACTGCCTTCTCACCGCGTCCGCTTGGAGGATGGGGTCCGGGGAGGTTTTCTTGGCCAACGAGTGATGAATGTGGGGTGGGGGACGGGAGGGCTCTGCCGGTGGGTTTGCTTTCCGTGGGAAAGAAAAGGCTTCTGCCGGGCAGATCAATGCCATATGCGCCGTGTACTCAGGTTTTTTCCTATTTATTGTGGACAGGAAGTTTGCCATTTCTGCCCCGTGGATGGGGCAGACCTGGCAAGGGGTGACACCGGGGGCCTAAGGAACTGCTGCTGTCTCCCCCCACCCCCGCCCCCCATCCCTTTGTTTCCTGCACCCTCCTTCCCCACGCCTTGCCTGCATTTGCTTAGTATTCGCTCCTGTTGCTTTGTCATTGATTCCCCTCCCCAACCAATGTCCCCATTCTACTTTTTGCTCCTCCCTCTTGTCCCCACCTCTCCATCTATCACCTTCTGTGCTTCTGTCTGCCTCCAACTCACTCTGGTGTCCCTGGGCGGGACTCCCCGTCCGTGTGCTCTAACGCCCCTCCCTGCCTTCTGTCCCTCTCATTCATTGCAGTGTCCTTTGGCGGATCTGACGGCCCCCGGGGCTGAGGAGGGGGGAGTAGAGAGTCTCCCACCCACCTCTTATCCCTTACCCAACTGAAACCTTGGGTCTTGGAGAGGGGGACAAGCAAAGAAAAGAAAAGGAAAAAAAAACCCAAAGAAGGGTATTTTTTTTTTGTTTTTTGAGGGGAAGTCCCAGAAATGTAGCTTGTTTAATATTTTAGGCCTCTTATTTTTGTAAGATGTGTAGAATTTGCTGTTTTTATTTTGACAACTCAGGAAGAAACTGACCTCAGAAAGAATGTTAGACTTTGGCTGCTCTCCCATGTGCACCCTGACCCCACCCTAGGGGAGCAGATTCTCCCAGAAAGAGAGACCCAGGAGCGGGCAGAGGAAGGCCCACTGCCCACACACCCTGCTGTTCCGAGGACACAAGCAGAATGTATTTCTCAGGGCTTCCTTCCCAGGGCCTGCGGTATAGGCAAGAGTAGGAAAGGGTAGGATTTGAGGGGGTTAGGTCTTGCTCTCTTTCAGCTCCTCCCCCCAGCTTTCAGCTCCAGGTTTCCTGTAAAGGGTTATCTAGGATTGGGTTATCCTTGCCCATTCCCTGCCCCTTGGAAGACGAGCCAGGCCCCCACCCCCCAAAAAAAAATTCCCAGAGAAGTCACCTAGCCTCTGCCTTGGTTTAGGTGCCCAATAACAGACTAAAAGGATTTCCTCAGGAGGGAAGGCAGTCTGGCCACAAGCCTGGTTGTACACAAAATCCATTACTCGCCCCAACTGCCGTCTCTGCTGGGACTCTGGGGAGGGTCTGTGGCAGTATGCCTCCTTGCTCCCTGGGAGTCTGGGTCTAGAGCTCTGGGGCCTGGAGATGGACAGGTATTTCCCCTGACATCTCAGCATCCTGCTCCCATTTCCAGCTTGGAGTTTGTCCTCCATATTTCTCCTCTTCCACCAGTTTTACTTGATGGGGCTTCAGTTGTTGATCCCATGAGCCCGTATTGTAACTCTGATCTTTGGTCCCAAAGGGGGATACCCCTACCTCCCTCTCTCCCTCCCTCCCTCCCTCCCTCCCCCCCCTCCAGCCTCCTCTGCAGCTTTTGGGCTCCTATAGTTCCTACAGTCTGCCTCCTGGCTTTCCTGGAAGCGATGGGGTACATGTCATTCTAGGGTGCTGAGGGGGAGCTGCCTCTCCTTGGAGCCAGCCAGTTAAGCGCAGGGCTTGGTACCCCAAAGTAGTGTTGCTGCCAAAGACCCTCAGAGAGCAGGGCGTGAAGAGCTTCTCTCAGGTGTGTGTTTGAATGAGTGGATGGAGAGTGGGGGGGGGAAGCGGACTGTCCCTTCAAGAGTCAGGCAGCCCTGAGGGTGGGTAGGAGCTCACTGGACCCAGCCCAAGGGCCCCCACTGCCTCCTCTGCTAGGCCCTAGTTCCCCAGGCTTGGGAGCTTTGCACAAGAAGATAGCCCCCAGTCTATGGCACCTACCTCACAGGGGCACAGGGCAGGGAGGCAGGGCAGCTCCAGTCCTGGCAATGTGGGAGGCATACCAAAGAATCCAGGGACTGGCTGTGGGCAGGGCATGCTGGCCCTCTGCTTCCTCCACTCACATTGAGGTTGGGATCCTCTCCTCCAGCTGCAACCATTTCTACCTCATTTTGCTGTGTGTTGTACATGGACGTATTTATCTCCTGTTTGATGATGCTCTGCAGTTGTGGTCTGTCTACCTCAAAAAGAGACTGTATTTTAAAAAAAAGTATTACACAGTATTAAAGTGATGGTGTGGTTTCCAGAGGATTTCTTGGGGTCCCTAGGATGCGGGGAGTGCTCTGAGAATACTTGGACTTCCAAGCATGTCCATTGTGGGTGTGGCTGTTTCTGTTCCCTCAGCAGGAAGTTCTCCTGGGATTCTGTTGTTCACTTGCACAGCCAATGGCTGTGGGCTCTGGGCACTGCAGTCACATGAGAAGAGTTCCCAGTTGGAGGCTCTTGCAGTTCTGAGCTCTGAGATAGGCCAAGCTGTCTCATGTAGCCCCAAATCCCCACAGGATGAGCAGCACAGAAAGCTCCCATGTGTGCCGAGTGAACAAATGAACACTGTGCATGGAGTGGGGGGAGGGAGTGAAGAGAAAGGGGACTAGAAATCTAAACCCAAGGCTCTGTCCTCCTAGAGTCCTAGGGTCTAGAGCTCCCAGGCCTGGAGATGGATAGGGTGTTTTTTACCCAGACACCAGCAGGCTTGAGGTCCCTCTCCCTCTTCCCATGTGATGCTGAAGTTTAAATTCAGGACTTTGCACTTGCTAGGCAAGTGCTCTGTCACACTCCTAAACACTTTGAGCTTCATTTTTCAGATCATCTCTTTCTCCTACTTCTTACTCCACTCTCCTACTCAAGCTTTGAACTCTGGGCCTTACATCCTCATATAGGTTTCTTGTTCACAGCTGTTGCTTTACCATTTGAGCCATATCGTCAGCCAGACTTTTTGCTGGTTATTTTGGAAATGGAGTTTCAATGACTTTCTTGCCTGCGCTGGCTTTTTGAACCAAGATCTTCCAGGTTTCAGCCTTCTGAGTAGTTAGGATTACAGGCGTAAGCCAGTGGTGCCCAGCTTGGGTCTCTCATTTTTGCCAGGGTAGCTTGGGACCCTGATTCTACTACCCACACCTCCCTTGTATCCAGGAACACAGACATGCAGCACTATGTCCAGGGAGCCCTTCTGAGAACCACACTCTCTCCTTCCAACCAAGTTTCCTTGACAGGGCTCTAGTCATGTGCCCCAATCCCATTTTACAATTCTGATCCTTGGTTCAAGGGGAATCCCTACTTCCTCTTTAGTCTCCTATTTTAGCATCTAACTTGTTCCCTGCCTGCCTCTGACCTGGTGGAGTAAAGCTAGGATCACACCTCCCATTGGGTGGAGGGCAGGGTGTGGAGACAGCTGAATTCTGGTGTTTGTCTCATGAGACCATGTATCTACTTCACCATCATCTATCAGTCCCCAGATTATATTTGTGTGTGTGTGCACATGTGTATCAGTCTTGAGGCTTGAACTCAAGGCCTGACCACTCTCCTTGAGCCTTTTTGCTCAATACTAGCACTCTACCACTTTTTTGGGGGGGAAGTTAATTGGCAATAAAAGTCTCAGTGGGCTGGGAATGTGGCTTAGTGGTAGAATGCTTGCCTTACATGCATGAAGCCCTGGGTTCAATTTCTTTTTGGGGTTGGGTCGTGGGGCCTGAACTCTGGGCCTGGGCGCTGTCCCTCAGCTCTTCAGCTCAAGGCTAGCATTCTACCACTTGGGCCACAGCACCACTTCCGGCTTTTTTTTTGTTTGTTTTGCTTATGTGGTGCTGAGAAATCCAACCCAGGGCCTCAGGCATGCAAGACAAGCTCTCTACCACTGAGCTACCTTCCCAGCCCCTGGGTTCAATTTCTTAGTACCACATAAACAGAAAAAGCTGGAAGTGGTGCTATGGCTCAAGGGGTGGAGTTATAGCTTTGACCAAAAGAAGTTCAGGGACAGTTCCAGGGCCCTGAGTTCAAGTCCCTGGACTGGCAAAAACAAAACAAACCTTTCAGGGACTTCCCTGCCTGGGCTAGCTTCGAACCATAATCCTCAGATCTTAGCCTCTTGAGTAGCTAGGTGTGAGCCACTAGTACCCAGCTCACCTTTGACACCTCATGATAAACAAGGGAATGGAAGCAACTAGAAACACTTGCTGAAATAGCTCTGTGGAGATGCCTAAAAGAAGTTTTGCCATACACTTTCTTGAGATGTTGGAGTGATCTAAGCAAAATGATTGAAAATGCACCAGAGCCCAAGGGGAGCAGTGAATGAGCCAGGCTCTTTGCTCTGGGCTCTTCTGCTTGTACCTCAAGCAGGCTAGAGGCAAAGCTAGCGTCCTGTGAAGCAAGCAGCTGACTCCAAAGGGACAGTTGTGGGTGGACCTGGACCAGAGAACTCTGAGGTTCAATAATCGAACCCCTCAGCTCTAGGAGGTCCAGATACCTGCTCCTCCAGTTTATCACACAGCGACTGTGTACAGACATTGTGAATGGCTCTGAGGGCACAGGAGTAGTTCACTGTACTTGCTGAGATCCTATAGTCCAGGATGAAAAAGCTCAAAAACATCATTTAAAAATACAACTGGTTAAGGGTGCTAGGTGAGCACACCAATCTTCCTATTCTCATACCTGACACAATTATCTGATACATAAAAGACATCACAAAATCACTTACTGATTTCCAGAAAAGTGCTTTGATGAGCATGCGCAACAAAGGCCTGGACACATGGTGGTATGTCAGGACCTTCCTAGACGGGAGGCTCACAGCCCTGCAGCGTGGAGGCTGGAAGAAGCATATTGCCTCTGGTAAGTGGGGTTGTATCCCTGCCAGTGATTGGCTATGAGAGCGCAAAGTGGGGGCAGGAGCGGAGAGAAATGAGGTTAGAGGAGTGGGCTGGGAC